CCCCCCCCCCCCCCCTCGACGGCCCTGCAAAGTCGTGCAAGATGTAAGTCCTGACGGCGGCGTGTGTTGTAGCCTGTGGGAATGGATTTCAATATAAATTTGTTTATACATTTATAAATAGCAGTACGGCGATGTTGAGGACGACGTTCAGCTAGATGTGTCCAATTTAACTGCGAAAGGGCCTGGGTACCAGAAAAATATTTGGGCAAATCAAGTATTGTTCTTGCTGCATTGTTCTGTAGTACCTGGGGATTATGCATTGGGACTTCACTGTTCTTGTTCCCCCACACAATGTCTGCATAATCAAATAACGGTATAAAAATAAGACTGTTATATAGAGTCAAAGAACCACGCACAGGTATAGCAAATGTTTAACACGACGCAAAACTCCAAGTCTTTGGCTGACTTTTTTGCTGAGAGCATCTATGTCCGACCAAGATATATATAATTTGACCGAGTTTAATGCCAAGGTCATGGAGTTCCAATGTCATAAAATGGCAATGCCATAGAATCTGCTAAACCGAGAACATCTAATCTGCAGAAACTGTCGGAAGTCAAAAGCATCGTACCGCGATCGAAATCTATTCCTGACCAGGACTCATTATCCTACTCTCGCTACGCGCTTTGCTCGGGGATACCTTTCCCTTGTTTAAACATATTTTAATTTGATTAAATAGTAAAAGCGACTCTCACGTACGCTCATCTAGGGGGCTTACTTGAATCAATTCCTACAATTGCAAAATGTTTAAAAAACATGCCAGTATATAATAAAAAGAAAACGAACGTGCAAATGAAAACGTTTTGTTTAGTTTATATAAGACCGACCAAGGGAAAATAACTCTCTGATTCTATAATGATAATGAAGATGATCCATGCAAAAATATTTGAACAATTTGCGCGTCGTTCATTCTTGAGCAATCGTCAGCGCCATTTGAGCATAGCAAATAAGGAGTACGTTACTTAGTAACATCTAAAGAGTTTGAAAATGTTCACAAATTAAATGTCGCTAGTCACTTTTCCATCAGTAACGCGTAACGGTTTCAGAACTATTTAAAACATGAGCAGCAGTGTTTTATCAGATATAAAGATACGAGGCGAAGCCGAGTGTCTTTAGGTCTGATAAAACACGCACTGCGAATGTTTTAAATTGCTTCAAAAACGATCGATCTAGTAAGTTCATTGGCGAAGTAATTTTCAAAAAACTACGTTGTGTAAGTCGAGAAAATCAAAGTTAAAGTTTAGGGACCAGTCATTATTTATGGCGGGGGGTGGCACCGAAGAGAAAAGGGTTGGGTAAACTAAATTTTGAGTAACTAAAAGGTTGGGTAAATGAAAAACAAAACAACTCAAGGGTTGGGTAATAAAAAGTTATTGTCATTTCCAAAGCATGACTCACTTAAATATTGGAGACCGAAAAGCAATGTCAACAGTCGTATGTCAATACAATATGTGAATCAATCAGAGTCACTATCTTGATCATTTTCCGATTTGTTGGGAGACAAATGGTGTCTCCAAAGAAAGTACATGTGAAGACAACAACAAAGTTTAGTTATCAAACTTGTGTCACAGAAGTGGTAAAGGACATGTGTGACAACTGAATGGTATTCTTTTGTAAAGGTTTTGGCCAGGGGTGGGTATTTATTTTTTAATTGATATTTGAGGTTGGGTAATCAAATTTTTTGCTTTTTAATGGTTGGGTCAGCAAAATTTTTACCAGGAAAAACATTTCTCTTCGGTGCCACCCCCCACCATAAATAATGATCCGTCCCTTATGTAAATCAAGCGAAATCTCTCGCATATAAAGATACGACACGGGCTTATTATTTTTCTTTGTGTTTTCCTCATGAATTATTATTTAGTTTTTGAAGCTTTCAGAATAAACGAGATGCTTTCATTTTCTTGTATTTTAAACAGTTATTGGTTCTATTCGTTTCGCTCGGTAGACATCAAAGCCATTGGACATCGATTTTCCATTGGATGGTTCACCTCCAAATCATGGCATAACTGATAATATAAAATATTAGAAAACGCATTTGCCCATGCTAAAATTCTGATAAAAAGTCAAGAATGTATATCTTCACATCACGGCAGCCATCTAAATATATAAGCCACTTGCAGTGCATATAGGTCTTACTGTCTATAATGTCTAATACTTTGCACATCTGTTATAAATATAATACACCGTTTTAGACCTAAATTTTTAAACATTATAGGGAATTTCTTGTGATAAAACTAATTTTAATGGACAGACAAAGATCAAGTTTTTTTAAAATTATATATGCCGCAGTGCATGTATGCCACGTTTTTTGGTCTCCACAGGTTCAACTTCCTCTTGGGAATCTTGCAGATTATTTTCTTTGTTGTTTGCTCGCCTTTTCTTTTAATACATATTGATCTTGTTTGTATTGTTCTTTTTCACTTCACCGTCAAACTGATGTGGTATATTTAATAGTTTCTCACTTCATTATTATTCTTGAGAATCAATTTCTTTGCATTTTACGGCATTTCCTTGATTCAATTGGCATGATTGTTTAATGGAATGATTGTTTGGTTGCTTGGTTTTTCCTCAGTGTAATGAACTGAGAGATACGCGCCGCGTGTTCAACAACCATGCTCAAGAAATAACCGTGATACAGGGCCGTGCCAGCTGGGTGGTGTGGGGGCGGGTGTATCACCCCCAAAGAAAAGTAAAAAGGGGGCCCAAATTGCGGAGGGGGGGGGGCTGGAAAGCGGAACGTGTTAAATATTAAGGAATTTTCTGGAAAATTGGTCTAAAGAGGTCTTCAAAACTAAATTTAAGCCCCCATTATGTAAACCTAGTGTTTGAAAAAATTTTGGGGGCCTCCCCCCTCCCTAGTACTTTACGGAAAAATTCTTTGGTTTCTGGAAAAATGTTTTTGAGGGGGCCCCCAAATGGGAGGGGGCCCAAATTTTTTATTTCACCCCCCCCAACCAAAAACCACTTGGTACGACCCTGCCGCGATATTCTTGCTCAAGAAATGATTTGCAAAATGTTTACAATGTTTTCAGTTCTTACTAATATACTGTAGTTAAACTTAGTTATTTTGGTAGTTGGTTTTCCGTTGTTCGATGATTAGTTAAATCCATATAATGATTACTTAAATCCATATAATCAATCAATATACAAGTCAGTTATTTTGTGGGAAGAATCGTGCCCAGGCAGAAGAAAAGAGTTTTCTATAAGCTCTTATGTATTTTTTATGTCTCAGTGCATAGATGAAGGCATTTGGAATCGAGTTTATACCAACCAGCTGGGAAATTACGATCCAACTAAGTTTTCGGAACCATGCACCATAGTCTAAAACACGACAGTCTAAAATACGAAGCATATTCGTGACAATATATGGAACAAAACAAAATATCAAGACTCCAACGATAATGGCGAATGTCTTCATAGCTTTCAATTCCTTTGCAAGATGACGTAGCCAAGTCATGTTTTGCTCAGACTGTACTTGTTCAGACTGTACTTGTTTCGACTGTTGAGGCTGTAACACGAATTCTGATGCCATCCTTTGTCTTTGGTCTTTGACGATCTTGAACATTTTGTAATTCAGGATTGTCATGACACAAATGGCGGTTAACTGTAGGATGACATGTAACCATACAACGGGTCGTGGTAAAACACATTCTCGCTTATATTCTGGTTTTGTCGTGTTTGAACCGGTCGTGGGTAAACGGGTCGTTAATAAACAACCTTTTTCTGGAACACATTTTTGCCTGGTGTGCATGTAAATATATATGAGTGGGAGCTGAGCCAATGCAGCTAACCAGATACAACTGAGAAGTATCCTAGTTCTTCGTGTTCTCACGATCAGTGGATACTTCAGTGGCTTCGCTATATACAGACATTTATCAATTGTGATGCATAGTAGAATCATTATGGAAAGGAATAAGGAAACATAAATTGTGGTTTGCGCTACCTTGCAAAACACTAATCTGTCATCTCTCTCTACTACACGAAACAACCGAACAATTTTTTTGGGATAAATTATTAAACAGACGAAAAGATCAGCGAAAGCAAGGTGTGTAACCAACCAGCTGCTCGGAGTCTTGTCGTGGTTCAGAAAAATGTTATAAATAATAACTGCAATGTTTCCGAACACACCAACAAATAAGAAGATGAAATTAAGTACCACTAAGATAACATGCCCAACATCGTTATCTTCTCTTCGCCAAGATGCTGAGTTCGTCGAATTATTGCACATCGTTGTTCCCTGTTCTTCTTTTCAAAACTGTCCGTTGCGTGCAGGAAACATCTGGTAACAGTTCAAACATCGCGTTGCTTTTGAAACAAAGCCGCGACTTTTGTAGACAAGTGACTTGAGTGGCGTGTCACGTCATTTTAGCACACTTTTAAGAATTATTCATTTTAAAAATTATTGTAAAGTAAAATTGTTTTAGAGTTCAGTATTTATCCGTTTCTTTTTATTAAACATCAGCCATAATCCCCGAACCAACGCCGCGAAGCGCCGTTCAGGGCTAAGTCCGGGGGGGCACTAATTGCGCTCGGCTATATTCACCCAGTTAAAGGAAAGCATTAGCGAAGTCTAAAGTTCATCTATAATCGCGGCCGCATGACTAAGGGCCTGTTTATATGATCCCGGCCAGGCGGGACGGGATGCTTACCGAGATCCCGTTCGTAATACAAATTCTAAAGAGTGTTTATATGATCCCGCCACTTATCCCGCCTAGACGGGATCTCGGCAACTGATACCGGGATCCCGCCTGAGCGAGATGAAAAATTCCCATATAAACACTTCATCCCGCCTGGCCGGGACGAAAAATTCCCATATAAACACTTCATCCCGGCTAGGCGGGATGAGTTTTTCCCTTTTGAGCATGCGTAAATGACTTTATTGCAACAAAAATATGACGTCAAGCACTTAAATGGCTTCATCCCGGCAATGTATTTTGTCCATATAAACACTAGGCGAGTTTCCCGTCTAGGCGGGATGAAAACGTCCCGTCCTGTCTAGGCGGGATCATATAAACAGGCCCTAAGATTTATGGGTGTCATATGGGTGGACCTCCTCACTGATCGCAAAAGTATGGCTGTTTCCCAGGTGTGGGATAAGCAAGATTTTAATTTTCAAACACAAATATTTGGAAAAGACGTTTCAAGCAATGCTGCTTTGGGCAAATATAAAGAAGAATTGATTTACCAGGAGAAATCGCGAAAAAATATAGGGCAAGTTTGCTTTCAATATTCAATGTTAGTATGAATTTTGTTGCTTTATTTTTTGCGTACAACATACACTGTCACTGCTTTCCTTAATGTAGTTGTAAGTTTCCTAAATTACCCAATTCGGTTTAAGAAAAAAATTTTAAATGTAAAAGAGAGCAAATTAATTTCATGAACTTTAATAAGATAACACGGTGCAGATCATGGTCACATTCGCTTGCGACTCTTGGGCAAGATGCTGAGTTCGTTGGATTATTCATCGTTGTTCCCTGTTCATCTTTTCAAAACTGTCCGTTGCGTGTGGGAAACATCTTGTAACACTTCAAATATTGCGGTGCTTTTAAAACAAAGCGACTTTTGTAGACAAGTGACTTGAGTGGCGTGTCATTTTAGCGCAATTTTAAGAGTTATTAATCATCGCCAACTATCTCCGACATTGAGCCTGCAATAGGAAAGCGGATATCCTCACAAGGTCAATACAGAGGCGTAGCCAGGATTTTTGGTCGGGGGGGGCAGCAAAAACCCAGGTGGGGCCAAACAAATTTTCCGGACCACAACATTTTAAATCTTCCCCCCCCCCAGTCGACAACTTTTTTGGTAAAAATTATTTCAGGACAATAACATTACAATTGCTTTCGTAGCACTTTTCCCGATTTCCGTATCACTTTTTCCGATGCTTCACCACGAAGATTCCGACAACATTGACTATTTTCCGACTTGTCTCAACATAAACCTATACAGGGTGTTTAATTAAATTAAACAAGCGGCGAACTGCATGGCAACACGGTGCTGCTAAACCCCCCAAAAACGGCAAGGCTTGATTGTGATTGGTGACTACCTCGGACTACCTATTTAATCTACTGGCCAATCGGAAGACTCGATCATATAGCTAGGTATTTACTGCCACCTTGTCGTTGTAACGTTTGCCGTAGGTGAAGGGTCTCAAGGTAAAGTATCTTTCTGCTGTTAATTTGATAAGGGATGACCGGTGATTTTCTTCATTCTTCAAGTGAATTGTCTTGCGATCCCTGATCGTGATCTTGGAAAATTTGATGGGTTGAATCCATTACAAAATGGTTGCACACACTCAGAACCAGCTTCTGCTTTAACTTGTTTTCTCTTGAAATTTTGAGGCCATCTTTGCAAACATTTACTTTAAATAATTTTTCAGCAAATTCAAAAATGTTGTAAAGAGACTGTGACGGTATTTTTAGGCCACCATTGTTCACAAATAATGTGAATGCTGACGCAGTGCAATTTGACTGTAATTCATAGCACAGTAATCATGGTCTGGAGTTTCAGAGTTGAAGTGAGAGAGTAGACATCGCTTGCATGATTCACACGATAGTTTTTTGACCAGTTTGAAAACTATGTAACCGCTGATGTAAAACAGGATGTTCGACAGATGTACATTCGGATGTACCGGGTGAATTTAAGTGACTGCAGAGTAGGTCTTCTTCAGGACTGCTGGCTACAGGTCGAGTCACGAGTCGAGTCACTCAAAGGTTGAGTCACGAGTCGAGTCAGTTTCTGATCGAGTCGAGTCAGCGGCTTCACTCGAGTC